CGTTTTATTTACCACTTTAAATCCAATGACTCTCGTAGGAGTCTGTTTATGTTTCCTCTTAAAACCAATATGCTTTAATATGTTCAAACTCGTGACCTAATTGATTTAAAGTGGTCTTGCGCCCGAATGGAATCATAACCTCACACATTTTGCCGTGTAGTGAGTTCATTTTGAATTTCATGTTTATCTAACGACTTTCATTGAAAAAAAACAAGGTGAGTTTTGCATGTTACTGATTGTTTTTCCGTTACATTGTGATATTGATTATATTTCAATATTATACAAATAAGCACACCTCAGCACCCTTCCCAATTATTAACAGGTGTTATTACCCACTATAGATATTTCATTTCTATACCCATAGGCGTATCCACGGGGATATAGTTCTTGAATGGAAATGCAGAAATTAAAAACTCTCTGAATCTTCTGATTGAGTCATTGAAGTGAACTTAAAAGGACGGGACACGTATATACTTTGTTCAACTATACGGTAGACTGTTGAGGTTATGTGGAAGACCATAAAACTTCACATTTATAGGGAGAGTCAGGGGTTCCTCTATATTTTCTAGAACATTTTCGACACAAACCACGAGACCCTGATGCCAATATTGACCAATTTCTCCAACTGGAATTTACTGAACATTTTTGGGAGTTCTCAAAAATGTTCGCGGATCTTGCTCGAGAATAGTCTTCGGAAATCGTTTATTAATGAGTTTAATCAGTAGTTTAACAGTTCTCTGGCTCGTGTTTGAAAGGATTGCCAATTCTCTGAGCTCTTCGCAGAATGAGTTCATTATTGTCGTTTTCGAATTCATCATCTTGAATCTCATGGTCGTTTTCGTAGTTTTCTTTCTGTAATTCCCTGGTATTGCTTCCATAATCGAACGGATTGAGAGATGAAGGGGAAGAACAGCCTTCAAATGTAACGCTGGTTTCAATTGCACTATGGTATTCTTGCACTGGTTTAACAGAGCTTCTCTCAGTTGTATCACTTTCACTCAAATTTTAAACTTACTTATTTCTGCCCTCACCTTTTCTTTAAAGTAACCACTTCTTTTCAATTTGAAGTCTTGTCGCTAACGCTCTTCATTTCACCGATTGGTTAAATATTTTATTTCATATGTAAACATGCGAACTGCACTGGTTGACTAAAAAAGCTTGTTGACAAGATGGCGTTCAATCTGAATTTGGAATGGATATAATCAGTTTTAATAAAGTCGTCCAAAGACCAAGAGGTATTTCTTTCAACCAAATTGACTAAATTAAAACCTTTGAACTTTATAATACTCTTAATGTACCCACTAAAAGGGGAAAATTATGTTTTTGGATTTAATGTGGTATTATATTGAATGTAAAGTCTTAGGATAAAATAGTTTTACTAATGGGTTTTGAAGAATACATCAAGGGTTCTCCATAAAACTACATTAAAACTATTGTTCCCAGAACGGATTGTTTTAAAACCGACTTGCTATTTAGTTCTTAATAATAGCAAATAAGTTTTAAAATAGCCAATGTTGAGACTAACACAAAACCAATATAAGATCAATAGGACATTAAGAGCAAATACCATTTTTATTTTGATTTGAAGAGTGCATTAAATCATTTCCTTAAGATTAAGTGGTCTTTAAGAACTTTTAGTTTATCTCAAGGTTACTTTAAATCCCATGTCGATTTATTGAACATATTAAAGCATTTTCAAAACCTGAATAAATCTGAACTATCTTAAAATTGTTACTTGGGTTTGCTCAGTAAAAAAATGTCGTAACGCCATCCGTTTTCAAGATACAAGGTGTTGAAACAATCTTTTTTTACACATTTTTTACGATTATGTTGAAACTACTGGTAACATTGTGATGAAATTTTGTATGGATGTTTCTTGGAATCTGACACACGGTTCGTAACGAGTAGTTTTGAACATAACTTTTTTGAGGTTAAATTTTTCAATCCAAATTTGATGTGAACTTGAACATCATTTAATTTCACACCAAAAAGGTACTCTTGGTAAAACTCGATACTGTGTTCCGTTTTCGGAATATTTCGATTTGAAAATGATGAAGTGGTAACTGTTGCTGGTATAAAGCTATGTATTAGAGTGAGTATTATGCAAAATTATCACCTATTTATTGAAAACCGAAAACAACAATACATCTCTGATGCAAAACTCATTGATTTTCGGAGGGTCGGTTCTGGTCGCCCCTGAAAAACTTGTCCAAGAGATGATCGCTTCTTGAGATTGCGGATTTTACGGAATCGAAATCGATCAAATACTGCGGTAAATGTTCAGCAAGATGTTCGCCAAATTCGTGATGTTGCAGTAAGTAAGCAGACGGTATGTAGACGTCTGAAAGAAGTTAATTTAAAAGCTAGGAGACCTGCAAAAGGTCCCAAATTATTGCCCAAACATCGTGCTGCTAGAAGAAATTTTGTTGGAAATTATGGACAGTGGAATATTCCTGAATGGTCGAATGTCTTGTTTACGGATGAGTCAAGGTTTTGCTTCAACATGGTGGATGGAAGAAAAAGAGTGTGGAGAAGAACTGGTGAACGGTTTAATCAAGCTCAAGCTCTAGTCTGAAGCGCTATCTGGTTTACAATGTGTGAAGAGACCCAAAAAAGGTTGAGCTAGAGCTGTATATTACATTTCAGCATGTTTCATACGCTTTTGATGAAATTTTTTTTAGCCTAGTGAAATTTCAATCCTCGTATAATATGTGCGGCCCACGTTTATGTCATGCCACTGCCTATAACCGTAGATTCTTAAACAATGACTTGAAATCGAGCAGTAAAACTACTCATAAACCGATTGTTGTACTTCTTTCGATAAAAACTGGATTGGAAATAAATTGTACCTATTCAAATAAAGCATTGTCAACCATAAGTATATCACGCTTTCTTCAGTTCTGTTACAAAATTTTTAGAGAAATTTATGTACACTAAGAAATTTATAAATTATAACTACAACAATGATAGCAATTATTGATAAAAATAATATGGAAAACGTGTACCAACACTCTTTTTATATTCAAGATGAATAATTTTCGTACCTATAGTAGGTACTTTTTTTATATTGACAAACACTTTCGATAGAAAATAATGCATATATTGTGCCTCAATGTTGAATTTGTTTGTACACAGTGAGGAAAATCAATTGTCAATACCAGAGAATGGGACCATTGAACCTAAAAAAATCAGGTTCTTATAAACATAATATATTATGCATTTCAATTTAATGACATACATCCTTTCGTCTTCACTTTTACAACTTTCATTCAAATTATATGACAAAAACAAACTAATGATTTTACTTTCTGTTCAGTAGCATATACTCATGATTTCAGATAATTTGAATCTTAGTTTTCCAATAAATACCTTCAAAAAACTTTGAAAAAAATTCACCCCTAGCTCGCTGATGGAAACATCATCGAATAGAAGTACATATAGAAATCAGGTTTCAATGAACAAAAATTGAATCGAAGAATTTCGACAAGATATTGAGGTTTTTGGATGTATGACAAATTTATATATTCATCATACAGGGCGTGGAAAGAAATTGAGAAAACCTATCACGAATCTGCGATTGAGGTCTATACAAATAACAAGTTTCCATCGTTCAAGTTTGAACCCCTTGATTGAAAAGGAATATTCTCAGATAAAATTATGAACATGAAAAAATACATTGAGAAATACATGAATAAATACTTTGAGAATTCGTATTCTTTATGTGATAAATTATCAATTCTTTATCGGTTTATTCAACAAAAAACAACTACTTACTTTCCTGGCTATATGGCCACGACGAACATTGAATTATATCTATTGAACACACACGATAAGAATTTGAAAACAAAATCTTCTGAAGTTGAAAATTCGCATTATCCTTCAGAAAAAAATATGTTTATGCACATAATATCATTCTGAACATACAACTGAGGCGGATTGGATATCCGAAATGAGTTGATTCGAATGAAGTCATATCCCTAATAACACACAACGTCCTAGGGACGTCCCTATTTGGTACAATTCACGTCCGAATGTCCCGAACCAAAAATAAGTGTCCTTGGGACGTCCCATCCCGTACATCTCATGCAATGTCCGAGCAAGGACGTCCACGGGATGTCCCAGCTGGTACATCATTTCAAATGTCCTAGAAATAGCATCCCTTCGACGTCCCACGTGGTACATATTGTAGAATGTCCATGCAAGGACGTCTCCATAACACTTTGCCAAAAAGAACGTGTTTCTCTTGGACTAATTGTTCGATTTAGATGTTTGAGTGCTCATTCTTTTCAGAAATCAATCATCTAAAATTGTATCGGTCCTGATTGGAAGAATAAACATTTTTTTATTCGCCAGAGATTTTTGAAAATCACAAGAATTCTGGATTCTCCACCATTTTGTTTCTTCCAATTATTGGATTTTCAAATGTTTCATTGTGTATACTACAGCCCTTCATCTCAAGAATAACTCGAAGAGATTCAAATTCGATTGAATTTCCATGAATCCTGAAGCAAAATAATAATAATCGCTTAAACGCGATTAGCACATTCACTCCATAACAAATTGAAAAGAAATGAGTGTATCTACTGGACTATCTGTATAGCCTCTAAGATGACATCGGTACAGGTTGAAAAAATTCTGATTTTATTTTTCTCCAGCGGTTTTTGTAAATGACAATACTTATGTAGAGTCCGCCATTTCGTTTTTGTTCATTATAATATTTTCAAATATTCCACTGTATACTATAGTCCTTTAGCTATGAAACAACGCCAAGAAATTCGAATTTGGTTGAGAAATGATGAAACCACGAGGAAAATAAAAACTTCCGGTTTTTTTTTTGTGACCACCCGATATATCCCTTTTCCCGAACAAGTGGCAATTATCTCCTCCAAATATGAGGTGTCCCATGTCCAGTCTTGATCAGATAAGTATGGAATCAAGCGAGCAGCTGGTCTTTGGGGGGGACCGGACCATCAGACCAGAGGACAGAGAAGTAGAGAGAAAGGCCATCGACGGCGGCAGGTGAGAGGGATACTGATACGGTTTCCCCCCCGGACTTTGTGTCTTGGTCATTTTCAATCCGGCTATTACCTACGATCGGTGCGCGGGCAGGTGACAATAGTGCGGCTAAAAAAAAACAAATTTCGTACTCGGGGTGACACTTTTTTGTGAGCAGTGGTATCGTGCTACCAAGGATTTTATTGGATTCTTGAACTACTATGGTAGGAATTTTTTATTTCCATCAACATATTTTCTCCCCCAAAGAGAATTTTCTAATTATTTTACGACTTTGAAATGAATGTATATGATTTCTGTTTCTGGGTGCCAAATTCATGATAAAAAAAATTCATTTCAGACAAAATTTTAAAAAAGATTTGTTGAAATCTATACAGGGTCCTTTGTGAAAAACTTGCATAACGTATGCGATTTTGGCACACAGGAAACGATTTCTCTCCCCAATATTTCCTCTAGACACATCCTTAGTTTTTCGAAAATATCTCAGGAACCAGAATACTTCACACTTTCTTTTTCCTACAGAGCTTTTGAAAAAAAATGGAATGTTTTTGTTTTGTATTTCTGTACATCAAAATAAAGTACGGAATCCATGTACGAAGTTTTCCGGCCTATTCTAACTCACCCTGTAGATAACTTGTAGTTGATACAACATAATAAGAAATTCATTATCCCCAATGATAGCAGGTATGTTGTTAATATCAAAAAAGTGAGATTGCGAAACTGAAAAATATATTCGAATAAGCATTGACAGTTCAGATAATGTATAAGACAATTCAAAGGTGATATTGCGTTTTATCTGAACCATTAAAGAATACTCCTTCGAAACTTACGAATTTCAATTTACAACCTCATTTCAGCTTTGGTTTCTGGAAAAAATAATTTGGTTTCATGGAAAGTGTTGGAATAGTAATTTACGTAACAAGTCCGGAAAATCAATTTTTTTTGGACGAGTAGACAAAATCCTAGGACGAGCCGTAGACGAGTCCTGGAAGTCTGCGAGTCCAAAAAAATTGTTTTTGGACGTGTTGCGTACACAATTTTTTCGGCAACCATATGTAGAATAACAATTCAATGAGACACATTTCCATCATATTATATTTCTTTGTGGAATACAATTTCTTCTTTATTAATTCTTATTTGTATCAAATACTGAAATTTGAACAGAATACCTATACCTACTGACTGCTACATACATTGGAAATTTCGTATGGACATTTTCAAACTCACCATCGCTACTGCTTTATTGCGATAATTGCATCCAAACTTTCAAAAATCCAAATGTCAACTAATTTAAAGTTAAATAGCTGTCAGCCGATATTTCGCTGCTATGTTCATTATCATCTGCATTTATTGAAACCTTATCTACCAAGATTTTCATAGTTACAGTGACAACAACGAGATGATACTACCTCAAAGAAAAAGCGTCCGGGAAGTGAGCACTTCTCGGACGGTTGCCGAAAAAATAATTTTTGTTCTTATTGCACATGAAGTCGTGCTTTTGGAGGGTTGGTTTTCCACAGTATTGTTCGCCATTCTTTTGAACCCACAGATATTCTAAATTCCACATATTTTCATTTTCCATAGAGGGTTTTCAAAGAACGGGCTCCTCGAATTTATAATTTGAGAGTTCCAAATGTAACAGTTTATTCGAATTCATTATATTTTGGAGGACGACATGATTGAATCAAATCCTTGAAATTCAATACTTTATTTTCCGAGGTATTTTCCATCAGCCTGAAGTAAAGAAAATGTTTGAATACTTTTCATGAGTATATTCAAACATTTTCAGAAACGAAATAAACCTATACCAGGTGAGACAGGAGACATGTAACAGCCTGTAGTTTTTTTATTTGGAGAGATACAAATTTGAAATTCACAAGGGTTATTTTATTGATGATAGCGCTTCCCTTGAACCCAATGACAATTTTCTCCAACCACCTGTTTGATCGGAAGTAGACCCAACTTTTTTTTTTCAAATGGCACCTTATATATTTCTGTAGCCTATCTTATTATTCCTAAAATTCTAAAATTGTTCTTAAATTGTTCTAAAATTGTTCTATCCGTCATTCGGTTGCCCCCTTACGAACAACCCTCAGAAGTCTTCGAAAGACTTGTGCGAGCAAGGAATGACGGGGGCCTTACCTATTAACGTGTGATCCCAAACACTTTCTTAGGCCATCAGAAAAAGTCTGCGTTCGTGGGTCTCGAACCCACGATCGATACCTCGACGTGAATCGATATTGAAGCATCGAAGCACTGAGGTACGCCGGCCTGTATTCAACTATGTATTACAATTTGATAAACGGAATGATACTGAGGATACACTAATGTAGACTTATGAACAGATGAACAGAACTCCAAATGGATGATCATGATATGGCTACATGGCAAAAATGAAAGACAAATAGCACAGTTTCTTCACAAGTAGTCAAATGGAAAAAACTGAGTTTCAATCTTAGTTTTTTAAATATCGTGAATTATTTTCGGGTGATTTTTTCAAACTCAATGAAATCATTGGCAATCTTCTGGGACCGATTAGGGTATGGAAAATATTCTGATAATATCTTCTAAGTAATGATCTTTGGATTTCTAAGCCTATCAAGCATCGAAATATCATTGTATTCGGGCCACAGCCAACTTCATGTATTTCAATAAGATGTAATTCAACAGGCAGTTGATGAACGAATATCAAATTGTTATACATAGTTGAATAGAGAATTTCAAGGCAAATAAGATAGGCCATAAAAATATACAGGATGCCATTTGAAAAAAAAAGTTGGGTCTACTTCCAATCAAACAGGTGGTTGAAAAGAATTGTCATTGGGTTCGAGGGAAGCGCCATCATCGATAATATAACCCTTGTAAATTTATCTTTTCAAATTATAAAACTACAGGCTGTTACATGTATCCTGTGTCACCCGGTATATCCATTTTAGAAATCTCCCAATGGTAGACAGCTGTTGAATTTCAAACTCCTGAATCGCCTTGTATAATAAATCATATAAAAGCAACAAATGTACCAGTTCGAAATTAACCTACATTGCTAATATCTATATCCTTTGAGACTTGCAACTCAAATGATTATCAGAATATTCGACTTTCTATTTCATAATCGATCGTACAGAACAGTCGCTGGTTCGAAATAGCCGAATAAAATAAAATTCACTTTTTTCTTCTACGCCACAAAAGATTTCGTGATCAAATCAGAGTGCATACCACTGTGTATAAAATACGATGCAATCATACAAATGTTACAGACGCATCAACATTCAACATAACCCTTTTTGTTTGTAATAATTATTGAAGAACTATACAGGGTGTATTTATCGATAATTACATTATATCGATATATCGATAATTTTTCCCACCCCTACTCATGACAAAGGCATGTCAACGCTGTCAAAGAAGAGACTAAAATCAAAGTCTGGGGAACCAACAACCTAGTTGATTCCAACACCACCTAACCTTATATAAGCTTGTATTTTCTCTAGAAAGGCGGAAACGAGAATGCCTGATAAATCAACGTTCCCACCAAGTGCTACATATCTATGCTCGGTATTTCCATCAGCAATTCTCTTTCATGGAAGAATAATCTACTTTACACCTCAACAGCTTCTCATGATCTATACAAAGAACAGATACGGCCTGTTTTAGAATACTGTTTACTGTTACCACATATTATGGGGTTCAGCAACCAGATATACGCCGATGTTCTGAGATTCCATACAGGAATGAGCCATTCATCCGGTTGGTGATACCACACTCATACTAATTCCTTGACCGCAGGAAAGTCGGTCATTTTCCCTTTTCCTATAGATACTTCCACAGCACGCTTCTGTCTTCGACCTAGATATATGTCGAACTCTCTTCCAAAATTTATTTGTATATATTATGGCAAAACTCGATGTGTAAACCGCGGTCAAAATTGTGTACACCAAACTTCAATTTCACAAGGAATTCCTAGGAATTCGAGTTGTTATTACACCAGAATAATACCGCACCTCACACAAGAAATGCCAAGAAACTCCAAGGAATTCCACGGGATTCCAAGGAAATCTAAGAAATCCCAAGGAAATCCAGGGAATTTCAAGGAAATCCAAAGAATTTCAAGGAAATCCAGAGGAATCCAAGGAAATCCAATGAAATCCAAGGAAATCCAAGAAAATCCAAGGAAATCCAAGGAATTACAAGGAAATCCAGGCAATTCCAAGGAATTCCAGTTGTTTGTACGCCAGAGTTCCACCGCGGTTTACCCCTCGGCAAAACTCTATTCCACGAAGATAACAGGGATTCCCTTCCGTACGCTGCAAAAGATAAAATAAAATAATTGAATCTGTCTCAATAGAGCAACGATGTATTTGGCGAAATATCGTTTTATTGCATTTGTGATGTGTTAATGGCGATGGGATAAAGTTTAATTGCCAATTTGGATTGCACAAATTTATAGTTTTCTAGTAACTGCTAAGTGATTCTGAAGTTCAGTGATAAAAATATGATTACAAGGTTCTCACTGCTGCGGATGTCCCAACATACAAAAAGTGTGCAATAACCATTAGTCGAAGATGCACACCGAATTTGGAACACGAGGGTGATAAACCGAATATTCGGTCAGTGAAATTAACATTGCAAAGCATGATTTGGTAGTTTTGAGTGCCAACCTCAATCTTTGTATGTAGCCTTTCACTTAAACCTTTCAGCCCCATTAGTGGTATTCTGCGTGCAAAAGAATCGAAATAAAACAGAATTTTTCCATTTATTTTCACACGTGTTGCATTGTATTGATTGTTTTATATCTGTTTTTTTCATTTTAATAGAGTTTTTGGGCATCAAGTAGGTGATAATTCATATGCATTTATGGTAGTTTGATACTGAATATGAGTTGAATCCCTTTGAAACCGATGACAACCTCGACAAAGACTACGAGACAAATACATCATCCTTTGATTCAGATGGTTAACAAGATAATGAAATCGACAGCGGTGATGATCAATCATCTGTGCAGAATGTATCAAGTAACTACTTTGCAGGAATTGTTTCACGCCATTTCATACATTAAACTGTAAAATTATATTGAATAAATATTTGACAAGACTTGGACTTTCATTTCATAGGTTACCAGTGGGACATATTATATGATCCGTTCAACAATACCAATGGGGCATATTTGTCCCATCCGTCAATATCAAAAAACAAATTTTAAATGATGCTAACCTGTATGAAATTCTGGGGATTGTTTGATCCTTAGAAGCGCACGAAAGGAAATTCCTATAATGTTAGTGGAACATCGTGCATACCTAGGCAGGATAGGGAGAGGAGGTAGGTGGTTGAAATTTTTTTTGAACTTTTGGAGGTTATAAGTTTTAGGGAATACTTCCATTGGCAAATAATTCCAAAGCTTCGCCGTTCTATAGATGATTATAAATAAGACAATTTTATACGATACATTCTAATATGGCGAATTTTGTAATATTATAAATTTGTAAATATAATATCTATAAGAGAGCCAAGTCAGGTCAATTGTTCATAAAGGAAGAGGAAGTAGACAATGTTTAAGCAGAAGAGAAAATTATGTGTATACCTCACCAGAAATTGACAATATTTGTTACATTCTTACCGAAGAAACGATCGATCAATATTTGATCCATTGATGCTATATTCGCAATATTAAATAACTGTAGATTTCTTGAGAATTGTGATGTTCTTTATGACCTATTATTATATCAATACAGTGTGGAAGCCTACGATGGAATTAAACCTGTATTTCCATAAAAAAAGTCAATTGAAAAAATCCTCGGACAGGTCGATATTCGTTTGAAAATCTTTTTTCTTACATAAAATTCAAAGTTACCTGTCAACCTCCTACCATCCAGATCAACTCCTTCAAATTTATTTTCCCGAAAAAGTACGTTTCTGATTAATCAATATCATGCATGATGATTAACGGTGATGATAGTTTACCGTTCTGAAAAAATACGATTCTGACAGATTACTATAGCGACGAAATACGGTGTTGATGAATTGTCCTTCCTATACAATATTGTTTTATTAAATTATCGTCCCGTCGGAATATGATTCTGATAAAATACCATTTTGATGAAATACGCTTATGCTGAATTACCCTTCCTATGAAGTACGGTACGATGTTTAACGTTTCTATATAAAGTAGATTTCTTCATTTTTATACATGATGGATTACATTGTGATGTATAACATTCCAACGGATTACTGCTTCGTTAAATGACGGTTCAGTTGTACCATATACAAATACCATTCCCATCGGATATATTCTTATATAATACGACTCTGATGAAATTCGTTCTGACGAATTATACAGGGTATATCTAGATAACACCAAACAAATTCGAGGGTTATTGATTCCTTGAAATATTTTAGGAAATAAAGTTCATATAAATATGAGTCCTAACTTGCTTCGTCTTCGAAATACAGGGTATTCATATTTCCATGAAAAATCGTTTTTTATTCATTGCTTAAATGTCTTTTCATTAATATCAATAAAACGTTGTGGTTTTGTTAATAGTAATATGGAACTTCTTTTGGTGAAATTTGATTCTCTGTGCGATTTTTGTATTCAGCTTAGTTTTTGAGGAATTAATAAAAATTCGATTTGACTCCAAATTTTAATGTAGGTGTATTCAAGACTTCCTTTGAGATTACTCAATAACCCCAATTAGAATCATTCTGAAATTTTGGGGCTTTGGGATTCTCCAACCATACTGAATTCTGGCACCATGAAAGCTTCACAGGGGGTTATGAATAAAAACAATTGATACTTCCAACTTCAACATCCTGTATCTCAAAATCGAAGTTAGGACACATGTTTATGTGAACTTTATTTGCTAAAATATCACATGGAATCACCCCTTGAATTTTTTTAATGTCATTTAGATACATTCTGCATGCAGCCATAGAAAATTGGGCAAATCGGGAACCAAAAATCTGTTTTTTTGTTTTTCAGGGCACTAGACCTTTTAGGGCCTCATAGTTTCTTCTCACCCTATACACTTAGCACCCAAACAGATGCTTCCGCCGCCAAGATGAGATTGCTTCCGTTATTTCTTCTGATTTTCCTCTCATTAGACGTCAATGCACAACGAAGGACAACCGCCGTAAGTAACACCCGATTTTTTCGTCGTCTATGTCGACACCAGAATCACTGATTGTACACCATACATTCACTTTGCATAGTTGCATTATTCTAATTATTAATATAGCAGACTGGAATGTCATTATAGTATACAGGGAGTCCGTTTTTCGAGCTCCACCATGAGGATCTCAGTTATTACCCAGCGAGCACAAAAACATCTCAGAGATGTTAAAAGTACGAGATTTCGAGACATTGAACCTCCACTGCGATGTTCTGTTCACACATGAATAGAACTATTATAGAACAGCCAACGTCCGCCGCAGGCGGCAATTATCGAGATGTCCTTGATATGTCTCAAAACTACCTTCTCCCTAGTTCTTTTTAAAGCCTTTTCATGGACACAACAAAACATTTTCAACGCGTCTTGCGCACATTAAATCGCTGTAAAAAAATCATTTTCGAGGTACTTTTCTGAAGCCTTTTGTCAAAATGAACTTTTGCATTAGGATATCATTTCCCTTGAATGAAAAAATGCATTAAAAATAGATTGGACATAAAAATATTTCCTTGATATGAAATTGAGTAGTGCTTACTACACACAGACATATAATTGGAAATAGGTTTCCCAATTTTTGAAATGTTCTCCACAATGCATAATTTTGCAACTGCGGAGAAGCTGTGTATTGATAAATTCGTACTTTAATATATTGATTACACTGAGGCACCGAACAACACATCTTGCATCTGATGGTCATTATTACAAACTAAATAAGTCTTCTAACACAATAAACTTCACCAAATTCCTTTCTGTTCGTTAGCAGCGTGATGTAAGCGTGACACGCTGCGAACAAGAAGAACAAAATCGAAAACAAATCAGAATTCATCGTATTGTGACGTAAGCATGAGACGTTGTGGTGGGGCAAACAAAGAAAGGGCACAAAAGAACAAAAACAATACTTTCAGTATCCTTCTAAGACCTCTTTGGGAAGTGCATAGCACGCCTCAAAAAAACATCCTCATGCCTACATTTCTAAAACATCCCAAAACATCCCAGGGATACCTCTCAGTAGGCAAACAAAGAAATGCCACAGAAGAACAAAAACAATACTTCAATATCCTTCAAAGACATCTTTGGTCAGTGCATATTACGTCTCAAAATAACATCTTCATGCCAAAATTTTCAAAACATCCCAAAACATCCCAGGGATGTTTGTGCTCGCTGGGTATAAGAGATACGAAGTCGGGTAAATTATGACAGAGTTGCGCATTTTCATGCTGAACATTTATCTGTAATAAAATTCGATGTGTCGTTTTCAGTTCCTGAATTATTGGGAGAAAACAAAATTTTGTCATTTTTGTTTTTATTTTCTCAAGCAAAAACTGGAAAACCTAGTGCCGGTTTTACCAGGGGTCTTTTGGGTACTATAGCACCATGAGGCAAAATCTTCATTTATTTAAAAATATTGTTACTCTCACATCTTATGCATAACGTTGCCAATTTTCGAATCATAGTGGCTATAAAAGAATCAACTATTTTATTTGCACCAAACAATCTGATAGAAGCGCGTCAAATAGGATTGTGATGATGAAAAACTACTTCAATGTTTGTGCTTTTTTTTTCACAACCACTACGATTGATTGCAATGTTATGCATGATATCTCGATGAGATGTAACAATATTTTTAACCAATTTAACTCGAAAATTATACATCTGATCAATACGGATTAGAAGTACCTTTTTTCTGTAAAGAGGTGTAGGATTTCATAATCTAGAATAAATTGTCGAAAAATATGCACACAAAAAAGTTTGGGCAATTTTTAATGTAGTCCCACCTCGTATTATACACTCCTGAATGAAATTTTGGAATGATGTTATGTTCACTGCATTGGGCATGGAAAGTTTAGTTCTTGTTTCGAATTGCATCATCTCATCACATTGCGTTTCAGAAATATTCAAGGAATATCGTCTTTAGGATCATCCTTTCAGGGGATCGCATCAGCTCTCTTATATAGGAGACATTTTTTGACTCATGATGATTGAAACTTTTCTTTCAATTTCTTGTCGAAGAAGCCGTTGGTGAAGTTTGGCAGGCTTTTTTCGGGACACCCTGTTATATGTCAAGATATGTCTAGTATCACAGTTGCTACCAAAATAACATTTTTTTTTTGAAAATAACAGTTTGGTGACATTTGAACTTAGTTAGGCACGGAAAGCAAGAGTTTTTCTATTAAATCAATTATTATTATGTGACAAAAAATCTTCAATAGTTCAAGTAATATATGATTCATGTTATAGTCAATTTTTGATATTGATTTCTCAGTGTTTGTATTTTGTTACTTCTCAGTGATAGAAGATTGATGGAAGTAAGATATGGTGTAATTACTGATGCGCTTTTGTTTCAGAAATTTTACTCGACCCCTCGAGAGCAGCGAGAGCAATGCACAAATATGACATTTGTCTATTTTGAAATTGTCGCAGATTTGTCGAATTCAGAGTTGTTTAATCCCACTGTTACATATACAAGGTAATTCTAAAATAGGTGGTCAAACTTTTAGAGCATATAGAGTGGGCGAAATAGTAACGGAAACCTCCGTAACATTTTTTTCTGAAGTGACCCCCAAGAAAGATACAGCCCCTCAAAGGGGGGCCTCGGAGAATGAATTTGTATTATTATCTCCAACACCTTGTATAATGAAAATCTGAAATGTTGTCCATCCACTTACTATTTAGTGCCGGTTCGAATGGAGTTAAAATCACCTCAAAATTAAATACAGGGGTGTGTCAAAATAAGGAGGTAGGGGGTAAAAATAACCCCAATTTTTTTGTTCATCGCAATTTCAGTTTTTTGACATGAAATTATGAAATCTCAGGGCTATTTACATAGAAAAGGTGCACTTGTTGCATCTCGATAAAATGAACCATTAGCGAACAAAAGCTCCTTTTCTATGTTAATAGTAAGTAAGTAAGTGCAATCAATTAGATTTTAACAATAATTTTTGATGAGAGAAGCCACCTAAGCTAAGCTTGTATTGTGGGCCATTCTCTCATCATACATTTTTATGTTAAATTACTAACAAAAAAAAAAAAGAAATATCTACTAGCAGATTAAAATGAATTATAATCAATCATTCCTATAAGTGTTATAAGGAAAGGAAGAAACGAAAAGAGAATATCACTGGTAATTGCAATATATTGTAAGAATAATTAATAATTATTCGAGAACTGATTTCAGGATATCCTTATAATACATTTGAACGAAGATTTTGGCTTGCTTTTTGAATTTATTTTTATTTTGTATATTTCTAATATCAGAGGGTAATAGATTGAAAAGTTTGGTGCCATAATAGGTCACAAATTTTTGTGTGATTGTGGTTTTAAACAAGGGAATTGGAATTTCTTGCCTTGCTGTTCTTCGAGTATGATGATAATGTAATGTAGGAGAGAATATAGAGTTTTTTGTCCAGATGAGGCATTGGTAGCAATACAGCTGCTTTAGATTTATTATTCCTATTTCATTATAAAGTTGCTCAGTTCCAAATCTTCTGTTTTTATTAAACAGTATTTTCAGTAGAGTTCGAAAAGTCCCACCCCAAACAACAATAGCCCTGAGATTTCATAATTTCATGTCAAAAAACTAAAATTGCGATGAACAAAACAGTTGGGGTTATTTTTACCCCTTACCTCCCTATTTTGACACACCCCTATATTTAATTTTGAGGTGATTTCAACTCCATTCGAACCGGCACTGAATAGTAAGTGGATGGACAAAATTTCAGATTTTCATTATACAAGGTATTGGAGATAATAATACAAAATCATTCTCCGAGGCCCCCCTTTGAGGGGCTGTATCTTTCTTGGGGGTCATTTCAGAAAAAAATGTTACGGAGGTTTCCGTAACTATTTCACCCACTCTATATGCTCTCAAAGTTTGAGCACCTATTTTAGAATCACCTTGTATATTCCGCGTACCTAAAATGGCATTTGCCATTTTATTTCCACTCGTCACAGCAGCAACAGCAGCATCACCATCTAGCGGGAAAATGTAGAATCAACGTCTCGCTCGTTGTGACGTAGAGAAATCATAGTAGGCCGATCGAGTGATTTTTCTGAAATTTTCAATACGTAATAATGGCCGTATACACGCGCACCATATCTTACTTCCATCATTGATAGAAGTGTCAGAAAAATGTGTAAGTAACAGGATGTTTTTCTGATTGATATTGAATTTACCATACCATATACCAAGTCCAATTCCTTCTCTTGTTCATGCTTTCTTCTTTTTGACATCGATTTTTGAATTTCAACTGCAGTTTTGGATTCAGAAGATTGTTTTACACACATGCACAACATCCATTATATCATTTTATTACAACATAAAACATCAAATGAGGAGAAAGTGAGTGGGTAATAGATCAGATTATATTTGATTATATGAAAAAAATCGTAGAAATGCTGAAACTGAAACCGATAAATAATAAAAACAAGAATGGATTGGAATTTTTGCCAGTAATGTGAATATTTCGTGTAGTAGGTATCATTATCATTGCACGTCTGTATTTGATAATTATCATATTCTTCTGAAAAGTCTAGAAGAGAACAATGTCTATTGTGTTGATTTCAAATTTATATAAATTCACGAAGAACATTATCTATGGGTCGTACAACAAATAAATGCAATAATGTTTTGTGTCTTCGTATGAATAGATAACTGTTTTATTATGAATTATCACAATTTTTGAGCCCCAGATTGTCGGTGAAAATAATTTTTCATTTGTCAATCGTTAAATCAACAGGTACAAATTATTTTGTTATTCACCCATTCATGCAGCTGGCAATTGATAAAATAATTATTAATCATGTTCCATGGCACTGAATTGTTACATTGCTACTTCGTAAAAATGTAATTGCCTGAATTACCTATGGGGCAATCTCAAATTGAAATCGATTTTCTCATGGCTTTTATCTTTCTGTTTCTTGTAAAATTGAAACGATTGTTCTCAAATTTGATTTGTGTCCTTGTT